CATTTAAATATGCTTAAGTCTCTCACTTCATTTTATTTCCCAAATTTAAATTTTGGAAAATTTCAAACTATCAGAAAAGTTGCAAGAAGAGTACAACAAATTATCACAACCCTTCACTTAGATCCACCATTTTTTTTTTTTTTTTTTGAGACAGAGTCTCTGTGTCACCCAGACTGGAGAGCAGTGATGCAATCTCCGCTCACTGCAACCTCCACCTCCCGGGTTCAAGAGGTTCTCCTGCCTCAGCCTTCCATGTAGCTGGGATTAGAGACACACACCACCATGCCTGGCTAATTTTTTGTATTTTTAATAGAGATGCCATTTCACCTTGTTGGCCAGGCTGGTCTGGAACTCCTGACCTCAAGTGATCCGCCCACCTTGGCCTCCCAAAGTGCTGGGATTATAAAAGTGAGATACCACACCCAGCCAGATCCACCAATTCTTAATATTTTGCCACATTTGCTTTAGTTGTCTCTCTCCCTCCCTTCCTCCTTCCCTCTTTCTCTCTCACTCTACATAGACACCTCTCTTATTTCCTAAACCAATTGAAAGTTAGCTGCAGGTATCATAACATTTCACCCTAAATACTTCAGCATGTATCACCTAAGATATTCTTTGATTTTCTTATTCTCACAGTTATCACACTCAGAAAACTTAACATTGATAAAATACTGTTATCTAATACACAGCCCATATTCAGTTTCCCTGTTTCACTAATGTCTTTATTTATTTTATTATTTTTTTTAAGAGCCGGGCATGGGGCATGGTGGCTCACGCCTGTAATCCAGCATTTTGGGAGGTCGAGGCGAGTGGATCACTTGAGGTCAGGAGTTTGAGACCAGCCTGGCCATCATGATGAAACCCTGTCTCTACTAAAAATACAAAAATTAGGCTGGCACGGTGGCTCACGTCTGTAATCCCAGCACTTTGGGAGGCCAAGGCGGGCGGGTCACGAGGTCAGGAAATCGAGACCATCCTGGCTAACACGGTGAAATCCCGTCTCTACCAAATATACAAAAAAATTAGCTGGGCGAAGTGGCAGGTACCTGTAGTCCCAGCTACTTGGGAGGCTGAGGCGGGAGAATGGCGTGAATCTGAGTGGCAGAGCTTGAGTGAGCCGAGATCGCGCCACTGCACTCCAGCCTGGGCGACAGAGCGAGACTCCATCTCAAAAAAAAAAAAAAAAAAAAAAAAAGAGAGAGACAAGGTCCTGCCAGATTGCCAACCTGGTCTTGAACTTCTGGGCTCAAGAGATCATTTTGCTTTGGCTTCCCAAAGTGCTGGGATTACAGGTGTGAGCCACCGCACCCAGTCCTATTAATGCCTTTTGTAGCTGTTTTCTCTGCTGTGTATCAGTGTCAGTGTATGTGTGTTGTTCCAGTGTCCAATCAGTGATCATTCATTGCATTTAGTTGCCATGTCACCTCAATTTCCTTTGAACCAAAATCTTTCTTCTTTCAAACAAACAATGCTTTCCTTAGACTCCCAGCTTCTACATCTAACCCCTGTGCTAGCTTTTCTCTCCTTCCCTTGACAGCCACGTTTTGCAAAGAAGAGACTCAGCGGTCTTCATATCCTCACCTCCCTCTTCAATATGCTGCAGTATGGCATCTGCACCCGCCCCCCGCCAACATGATCCTCACTCATCAGACTTTCCTGCTACCTCTCTGGTCACTTCTTGGGCTCCTTTGTAGCTTTGTAGGCTCCTCTTCCTGTGCTTGTCCTGTAAATCTTACCGTTCTTCAGAATGCTGTCCTAGGCCTGTTGCTCTTTCCACTGTTTATGCTTTCCCTGAGTGATTCCTTTCCTTTCCTTTCCTTTCCTTCTTTCTCTCTTTCTTTCTTTCTCTCTCTCTCTCTTTCTTTCTTTCTTTCTTTCTTTCTTTCTTTCTTTCTTTCTTTCTTTCTTTCTTTCT